GAAATGAGTATGAAAAAATAGACTGATAGCCCTGTGGATCATCGTATAAGAGGAACAATTTCAATTTTATTATTCCAAATGGAAAGATCATGTGATAGGTACATGGCGAAAATAAAAGACAGATAGTTCCTGTACGAGTAGCTGAATTCGAAAAAATATGTTCCAATCTTAGATTCCTCAATATCATGAAACATTTTGAAAAATATCGGTTTACTAATGATATTCAAATTTCAAAGCCTATCAAGTGTCGATATATCATCGAATTCATGTCACAGCCAACTTATTCTTTTTGAATAAAAAGCAATTCAACAGCGAATTAAGAAATTAATGCCACTTTGTGATACATGGTTGGATAGAGAATTTCAAGGCGAAAAAGAAAGACTGAAGAAATGTACACGGTGACTTTAAAAAAAATAAGTTGGGGTCACTTCCGGTCAAACAGGTGGTTGAAAAAAATTGTCGTTAAGTTCGTAAAGTGCGCTACCATTTATTATATACCCCCTGTGAATTTCAAAATGTTATCTCTTCAAATAAAAAAACTGCAGGCTGCTACATGTCTCTGTGTCACCCGGTATAATATAGTATATAATTTAGGATGAACCACCTACAGACAGTATTCAAATTAGAATGTCGAGTAGTATATTAGAATTAATATTTATTCCATGTAAAATACATGTATGTAAAATAATTAATATATTTCATGAAATTAGCAGCCTGAAGTTCCATAACACAAGCCTAGCTCAGGAGGCTTCAGTAAAATGGCATTTATGTTTGAATATAATATGTATGTATTCGGTATAATAATGTAACATCATCTATCCGAATAAAATCATCTATCTTTATCTATCTGTTATTGAATATCATATTGTATATAATCTTGAGTGCCATTCAATTATAGTATCATCTCGAGTCGCTTCATCAGCGACGTTTTCTTTTGTAGACACCCATTTTCAGAATTTTGCAGAAATGTTTGGCCCAAAGGAGTTGTCACTGCTGTATACCCGGGCACCGATGGCCAAGTTCGAGTTGTGGATGTTAAAACGAACATGGGAAATTTCAAACGACCGGTGGCGAAACTCTGTATCCTATAGATATTCAGAAAGAAAATTAAGTAATGAATCTATGAGTTCATTACTGGGGGGAGTGTTATTGAATATCATATTGTATATAATTTTGGGTGCAAATCACCATGTATTTTCGTTGGACAGTTGTCAATAATAAAATAAAAGTCAAATAAAGTGTATTGTCTTGTCGCTGGAAATACTTATAAAAAAAGGGTAATAAAACCACCTTCAAACTACAGACAAATACACTATCTTTATTTGCTTATTTGTCGATTGCATAAAGAACCTCCTCAGTTTGAACTAAAATAAACCCGTTGTAATATCTCAAAATCTTTATAAATAACAAAAAACAGATTCGATAAACATATAAAATCATTACGAAGGTTATCTGTGCAGTTATTGAAAGTAACAAACTATTTTTCGACAATTACATGATACTATTCGACAATCACATGATATTATTCCTGATGATGAGTTCAAAAAGAATATTCTGAGAATATGTCAATTTGAATATTCATAGAATTTTCGCTGCAGAATGAGAATATCCTATGATCATTATAAGAACATTCTTTAAGGATATTCTGAAATCAGTTTATTTGAACGTTGTCAGAATATTCATAGAATATATATACTGTGTTGTCTGGGTGAGAGATTCGCATCAATTGCCACTGGCGAGATCTGTAAGTATTCGTAAGACCGATGAATTATTCGAGATATTCGCACACATAGCCTTTCGACGAATAAATAATTGTTTGTAACTACGAGTTATTCAAGTTATTATTCACTCTTATAGGCTTGCTGGGAGGAATTCGGTAGATTTGCACCAATTTCTACTCAAGACTACGAGTTATTGAAGAAATTCACGTTCACATGTTCCGACATTCAGCTGGGTATGCCGACTTCATTGAAGAAGTACTTTTCAAGATAACATTTTGAAATTTGTTGTGATCAATCCATTTGAAGATTTTCGAATACAGGGTGATACGTTTTTGGGAGTAGAGGCTTTTTTATCCGTCCCAAACTTTTTCGTAGTACACCTCTGGCATCTTTCAGTGATCAAATTGTGTGGATCGTTCAATTTAGAGAATTCTTGTGCTTTTTGATTTTTTCGAGAAACGAACCGTTTTTTAGATAAATAAGCTTATATCCGTTCTGAAACATGATTATTTAACCTATATAATATGTTTTGCTTGAATTTAATTTAAATGAAAAAAGAACTTGACTTTCCACCCTCCGTATCTCCGTTACTGATCCAGATTGGACTCGTGATTGCAATTTTAGTAAGTACATTTCATTACAATTTCAACGAACTTTGTCAAAGAGTGAAATTTAAGCGAAACATAGGCAAAATTAACATGTTTTAGAACGTATATATGCTTATTTATCTCAAAAACGGTTCGTTTCTAGCAAAAAATTGGAGAACACAAAAGCTTCTATACCTTTTCAACTCCAATTTCGGAATCGGTGAGTTATATTTCGGGAAAAGTTATCTCGATTTCAGAATTGGTTAGTTCGATTTCAGAAATGGTAAACTCAATTTCAGAATTGGTGAGATGAATTTCAGAAAAAGTCCATTCAATTTCAGAAAAGGTGAGTTGTATTTCAGAATTGGTAGGTTCAATTTCAAAAGATGAATCCTTATATATGTTTGAAATGTTTTCAATTGCAAAAGAGAAGATTGTTTACAGTGGATGGAACGGTGTTTGAGAGCGTGCGTTTGAAATGGACATCCTGCAGATACCATATTGGTAGTTTTGGATAATGCACCAACACATTCAAGAATAGAAGAGATATGCATGGAGAAAGAATTTCAAGATATTTTATTCTGCAGATTGGCACCTTACATCCACATCCACAAACATAATATATGGAGTGCCTTCAAGTCAGAAGTGAAGAGCTTCTTGCAAGAGCATCGCCAAAGGGTCATAGCTGGGGATCCGAACAGATTGCTCAACCAGATAGAATTCAGACAGCGATGGCTTGAAGAATGTGCAGATCATTCAATGAAAATGATAACACCTCAAATGTATTTGTATTCTTATAATCATGTGCAACGCTTTTCCCGAAATATAACTTTCCGAGTCCGAAATTGAAGTTGAAAAGGTATAAATTGAACGATCACTGAAAGATACCAGAAGCGTACAACGGGAAAGTTTGGGAGGATATAAGAATAGGTAAGCTCATACCCCCAAAAACGTATCACCCTCTGTAGATTTTCAAAATCTTCGAACGGCTTGAAATGATGATCTTCTAGAAAGTATTGACCACATCAAATTTTAAAATAGTATTCCGAAAAGTAAGCGAGATATTTCAATAAATTGAAAAAAATAATTCAACTTTGGCCCCCTGTAGCTCCATTAGTGAACGAGATCGGACTGATGTTTATACAGGGTGTTTCAAAAAAACCTGACCCCCTTACTAGGTTAGGTAGAACACTGCAAAATAAGTTGAGTTTACTCAGTAAAAAAAATTCGTAACGGCATCAGTTATCAAGATACAAGGTGTTGAAAAAATGATTTTTTTACACATTTTTCGTGATTATGTCGAAACTACTAGCAACATTGTGATGAAATTTTGTATGGATGTTTCCTAAAATCTGACACATCGCATGCATTTGTTTTTATACCTGACTCTCATAGAGGGCGCTAGTTACACGGTTCCTACCGAGTAGTTTTGAACATAACTTTTTTGAGGTTAGATTTTTCAATCCAAATTTGATGTGAACTTGAACATCATTCAATTTCACACCAAAGAGGTACTCTTGGTATAACTCGAAGCTGTGTTCCATTTTCGGAATATTTCGATTTGAAAATGATGAAGTGATATAACTGTTAAAAGTTATGTATTAGAGTGAGTATTATGAGAAATTATCACCTATTTATTGAAAACCGAAAACAACGATACATTTCTGATGCTAAACTTATTGATTTAACAATGAATCACAAGAATAACATCGAAACAGATTTGACTATAAGAACATGGATTACACAGTTCTGTTGTATCTTGAGCAGAAAGTCTATGCTACATAGGTAAATTCACGTCAAGAGTTTTAAGACATAATTGAACATCACTTAAATCACCTAACAGCTTATCATCAACTGTTTAGAAGAATAAGACATTCTTAAGAAAAGAATATTGAATCGTGAATTCGTCGAAACGTAGGACATTTTGATTTGAACACTTACTGTAACTAATTCAATATTTCATGTTTCTAGTCAAATATCTCTTGATTTTCTACTTATGATTCTTTGTTCTATCAATAACTTCAGCACAAGAATAATTTCATTATTTTTGAATCTGAATAAATAGGTAATTGAACTCAATAAAATTCATTTCATACCAGCATCATTACTACTCCATTATTTTCAAATCGAAATATTCCGAAAACGGAACATAGTAACGAAATTCACTTTTTTGGTGTAAAATTTGATGATGTTCAAGTTCATATCATATTTGGATTGAAAAATCTAACCTCAAAAAAGTTATGTTCTAAATTACTTGGTACGAACCGTGTAACTAGCGCCCTCTATGAGGGTCAGGTATAAAAATAAATTCATGCGATGTGTCAGATTTCAAGGAAAATCCATACAAAATGTCATTACAATGTTGCCAGTAGTTTCGACATAATCGTGAAAAATGTGTAAAAAAAATCATTTTTTCAACACCTTGTATCATGAAAACGGATACCGTTACGACATTTTTTCACTGAGCAAACCCAACTTATTTTTCAGTGTTCTACCTACCCTAGCAAGGGGTCAGGTTTTTTTGAAACACCCTGTTTGAACTTCTTTTATTGAAATATTGAGATCCATATATCTCCTATTTCAGCTTGTGTCTCGAAACCTAAATCACCCTGTATAATGCGGTTTACGAAATCTAGAAGGCATACATCACCATTCAAATAGGTGATTAAAATAGAGAGTCACTGTACTTTACCTGACAATAAGTCGATGCGATGACTAAGAGCACAGTTTTAAGAGGTAGCATCAATCACAAACGACTAAAATATCGAAAAAACAAGAAATCGAACAAACGATACCAAGTGTGTTTTTTGCCTCAGCGCCACAAAAACAAGGAACGATCTTTTTGAAGTATGCAAAATAAGAAATATGGCAAGGTTGGTAGAATTGATGATAATTTGTATAAAATAATCATCAGTTCGACCAACCTTGAAATATGGACTTTCTTCCTCCATCTATGGGATATTCACGAAAGCAATTGTTTGTAGCTAGGCAACTGGCCCGTCACTGTACTGGCCAAAACACTGATGCGCTATACCTATAGTACAGGGCGTTAAGCTTCACAACTAGCTGCCAGCATAAGCCAGTCGGGCCCCAGAGCTTATCAAACTATGCTGTGGCCCTTGAGCACACAAGAATTGATGGCCCTTTTGGAAAGTAAAGCTATTAGACAAAGAGCTGGCTACATGAAAATGTGTGTCACCGATACATGAATGATTCCAACTTTTGAAAGATCCTTTTGTGTAGCAAAGTTCAAATCGTGTTGTGAAAAAGTAGCAACATCTTTATTGAAAAGGAAATACTCTCAGATAAATTATGAACATACAAAAATGGATATATATTTATATGAAGTAATACATTGAGAATTCGCATTCTCTATGTGATGAGAATATCTACTCTTTTTCAGTTTATTCAATAGAAAACAACTACTTTCCTGGCTATATGCCACGACGAACATCGAATTATATCTATTGAACACACACGATAAGAGTTTGAAAATAAAATATAAAAACTTCTGAAATTGAGAATTTGCATTCTCCTTCAGACAAAAATATGTATATGAACACATCATTCTGAATATCCAACAGAAAACAACTACTTTCCTGGCTATTTGCCGTCGAACATTGAATTATATCTAATGAACATTCAAAAGTAGATAATAAAAAATAAAAAGTAAAATCCTCCGAAATTGAGAATTGACATTCTTCTTCAAATCGGTTGAATAATATGATGTATAATGATATAGAAATATAACTTACCCATATATTCAGCATTGAAATGAAAATTGGAATGTATAGGAGAAGTATACTGGCATAAACTCTGATCTTGATGAGCTTGAAAACTTCCAAAAATAATCATTCATATCAGTGATATGGAAAATATTAACTTGTGATTATTTTAGACCTCTAATCGCAAATTCGTGATAGAGTCTCAATTCAGAATTTCTTTCCACGCCCTGTATGATGAATGTCAATCTATCATACACCCAAAAGCAACATCTTTATTATTTCGAATGGAATACCCTATATTTCACTACATCCTAAGATTTTCCGTGAAGAGCTGATTTCACCAAAAGATCACACTTGGTTCTAACGGGAATGATTACAGAGATATAGGGTGTTCAAAATCGAGATTGTTTCAAATGTAGGATTTTTTGTATCGAAACTAAACTGCTCAACACATGAAACGTAAAATCGCATTTTTTCGATCGAGTTTGAATCATCATAACTTTCGATTTCCTCGATTTTCAATTATTTTTCAGTTTCTGAAAGCTCGTTTCATTGAATATCGAACCTATGAATATGACTAATCCATCCTTTCCGGATGAGATTCTACAGGATGATAATCAAAGCTGTGCATTTTTCCAAAAATTTCAAACGCCTGCCGTTTGAAAGAAAAAATTCTCTATTTTTTTCGGGGTCAAAAACATATTGCTTCATACGTTTTCTCGATATTGTGAAAAAACATTTCGAATTGTCATATGCGTTACTGAAATATTAATGTTTTATTAAGATAATGCATAATTTGATGCTCTAATTTCTATAGTGACGTTGTGTTCCTGTCAATCTGGTTCGAACGGTGGTAGAAAATCTTGAAATATTGCATAATCAACCTATCCTTATATACAGAGTGGTCTTCAAACAACAATCATGAAATTATGACATCAAGTAATAAAAAAATATTGTTTTGACGAGCAAGAAAATTTCGAAACAGTAAACCGATTGAGAAGTTTTCTGACGATCAAAGCGTGTAGGAGAGGTTGTCATCACCATGTCATGTTGCTACAGAATTTATTGCAAGATCAAACCACTGGAATTATTAGAAAAACCGGATTTGCGTCGTTCTCACTTTGTGATAGATTTTTAGAAGATAATTTCAAGGCAAATGAGATAGACTGAAGAAATATACAAAATGTCGTCTAAATAAGAAAAGTAGCAGCCGAAACATACTATGCAACTGACATAATTCATCACAATTGCAGTAGATTAACGAATAACAGGATATGATTTCATTTGCGGTGAACGTCTTCGCAAAGGACTTATATTGAATATTAATTGTCGAAATTCAAAAGAATGGCAGACGTGAGTCACAGGGATATGTAATGTCTTGACTCAGAAAAAACATGAATTCTTCATGATGAATTCCATCACAGTCACAATGTTCCAGTTCCATGACTTTTCACCAATAACACCAGTTCAAATCACATCACTCTCACGTTTAATCGAATTTACCATTGAAGTGAACATGAAAAGTATGAAAATTCAATAACACATGAACTCTTAACAAGCAGTTGGACCACCCTGTATATAAGAATAGGTTGACCATGCATCATTTGAAGATTTTTGACCACCGTTCGAACCAGATTGAGAGGAACACAAAGCCAATAGAAATTAGAGCATCAAATTATGCGTTATCTTAATAAAACATTCATATTCCAGTAACGCGTGTGACAATTCCAAATATTTTTTTACAGTATCGAGGAAACATATGAAGCAATATATTTTTGACCCCAAAAAGAAATGAAAAATGTTTCTTCCAAACGGGAGGCGTTCGAAATTTTTGGAAAATGCACAACTTTGATTATCATCCTGTAGAATCTCATACGGAAAAGATGAAATAGTCATATCTATAGGTTCGATAGTCGATGAAACGAGCTTACAGTAACTGAAAAATAACTGAAAATCGGTTGAGGAAATCTAAAGTTATGATGATTCAAATTTAATCGAAAAAATGCGATTCTACGTTTCATGTGTTGAGCAGTTTATTTATTATTGGTCAAAACGGCTCACGTGTCCCTATCTTAACTTTTGTTTCACTATCTACTGACATTTCATTGGAACATATACAGGGTGATTACAATTCTGAATCTTATACCACCTAGTATTTGTTTCAATTCAATGTCAGTATATCAGTAAATATATAGTATATCGAAAGTTGAGATAGGGACATGATATCAGTTTTGCCGATAATGAATATAGTTTTGATACAAAAGAATCCTAAAGTTAAAAAAATCGGGATTTTGAACACCATATCTTTGTGATCATTTCCTCGAGCATTTCCTCAAGACCCACATTAATGCAATCAGCTTTCCAGGGAGAATCATAAAATGCAATGAAATACATGGTATTCCATTTGGTATAACAAAGTTGTTGGTAATTTTTGGAAGAAGCAGCAGGGCTGACAATATATTTTGAGAACGATGTCCTCCGATGTACACGGAAAAAAAGGATTGGTTGTATCAACCAATTATTTATCCTTGAATCATTTTTGTTGGACTGAGCAATTTTTTGTTGAATCAACCAGATACATGATTATTTCATGGAAGCAGCTTGTTCAAATCGAGAATGTAGTCTCATTGAATCAACAGTACAATATCAATTCCATCAATAAAATATATGGTTTTCTCGAGAACAAATTATGTCGATCCAAAATAATGTCGATTTGATTCAACTATAAACATTTTGTTGATTTATGGAATAATGATCATTTTGATAAGAATATATCTTTGAAACATTATACAAGATTTCTCATTCCGATGTAGCATGTAGACATTTCTGAAAATGTTTCAGGCCCTCAAATGATACAGGGTGGCTGAAAATGATTTTTCAATTCGGAACTTTTCGAAGTGATGTTTCACGAGTTTTTCAAATGGAACACCAGATATATTTTTCGACCATTTGATGTGAAATCGAAACACTAACATATTTATCTGAACATTCATATCGATATTCATAACCATTTTTGAATTATTGAACTTTGAAAATTATAGGTTGGCGATTTTGATTCTTATCTGTCATTAAAACATAAAAAGTCCAATTATTAATTTAGTGAGCCAATTTTTTCAAAGAAAGAATCGATACCAGAATCGAAACAAACAGAAAAAGTTCATATGCTAGTTATTCACACAAAGTAAAAAGAGACAAAATTTGCATTTCTCAAGTATCCCATAAATTCATGGCACATTGAAAGCAAAACCAGAATAATTGAGAGATGAAATTTTTTCCGTCTCTACTTTGTAAATATTTAGCATAATTATGACCTATTTCATGTCTGCTTTGATTCTGACATCGATTATTTCAATAAAAAATTGGTTTACTATATTGTTGATTGAACGTTTCAATAACAGATTAGAATGTGTATCGATGAAAATGGCCAGCCTAAAATTTTCAAAGTTCAAAAATTCAAAAATGGTTGCGAATATCGATATGGATGTTCGAATAAATATGTTCGTGTTTCGATTTTACATCAAATGGTCAAATAATATATGGGGTGTTCCATCTGAAAAACTCGAGAAAAATCACTTCGGAAAGTTCCGAGGAAAGTTCCGAATGGAAAAATCATTTTCAGCCACCCTGTATCATTTGAGAGCCTGAAACATTTTCAGAAATGTCACTCATCTTTTCAATAAATGATATTGAGATTATTTTTTCTTAAAGTTTATAATTGTGACAACAGTGATATTTTCGGTAGGCATCTGCAGATGACATTATTTCGACAAAAAAATTCATAACTTTGATACGAAAGAGATATAGTCAACGATATTATAGGAGTGGATGAAGATCACAGGGATGCTTCAAAAAATATGCAAATATACTGGGCATTCCAATTAAAAAAATTGATCCCGACCCTCTAGATTGTTTTCGGTGCGCCCTGTATATGCGGCAATAATTTCTAGTTATGGTCCTTGTTATCTCATACACATTCGTTTTTGAATCAGGTTTCTAGCTATCATAGAACTCGAGCAATCGAGCTCCGACGCACTAATGCCCCACCCTGTATAAGTATACAGGGTGATCCACGGTGGATGGCCTATTAGAAGTATCTGGAGAACGAA